ATATTTAAAATTTTAAATAAATAATTTTTTTGATTATTTTTTCGGTTGACCGGATACTTTTTCGAGGGTAGTGTATAATTGAAATTTTCATCTTTAGTGAAACAGCGGCAGCATTTCCATGAGGAATTGTAGAGTTTAGGTTGTGTTGTTTTTAAGAATTCAATTGTTAGAATTTGTTCAAAGAGGAACTTGTGTCTTCTACAGTACGTTCAAGATTCTTTAAATGACGTTTCAGTAGGAGTGCTGAGTTTGATAAATTCAAAGATCAAAGACCAGTTTATGTATAAAAGACTATATTTAAGATTTCTTTTTAAAGAATAAAAATCGATAAAATGTTTAGTATTGGTGAAATCTTTTAGGAAAGGACGTAGCCTAGTAAAAATAGGCATGTTATTGAAAGTCAGAATGTAGAAAAGATAAGGTATTTGTGTAAAGTATATAAGAAGAGGTGAGTGGAGGAGAGAAGATTTAGTGAGGAGATTGACCTTATTATTATAAGGATCATCAGAATACACAGTTACTTTGTTTAATAGAAGGGAGATATTTTGTTCTTCCAAAAGTTTGAAAATAAAGGACCAATATAAATTAAAGGATAGTTTGAATATTAAAAAAAAATAGTTGAAGACGTTCTGTTTTTTGACTTTATTGTATAAGTGAATGAGTGATAAACTATCTGTACAAACGTTAATCTCAGAATCAGAAGGATAGATAAATAAAACTAGAAGTAAAGCAAAAATTTCAGCATTAGTAGAGTTAACTTAAAAACAAGGAATGGTAGTAGTAAATTCTATATTAAAAATATCATGAACAAGAAGAAAGCTGAACTTAAATGGGAACTAGGAGAAGTGAAGTGAGGAATAAATTTATGAGAATCATCAGTATAAAAGGTAAATAAGTGTTCATCTTTTAAAGTAAATTTGAATTAATTTAAAAGTGCACAGGTTGCTGGTAAAGATATTAAAAATTTAATGGTATAAAAAGGTGAACTATTACTAATTAAAAGATTATTGGATACAATGACCGGTCTCATATCTAGATATTTTTGTGTAACTTGATCAGATACAGTTTTGATATTTCTTTTTAAAATGTAAAGTTTTTCTGAGTCTACTAAGGTGAAATAGTTGGTTTGAATAAGTTGAGGTAGGTCAATGTCAATTAAATTTCTACAGAAGAGCTGTTGAGTAGCAACAGGAAGTCTGGCATATTGTGATTCCTCGTGAAAGATACAACCAGTACAGGCTACAAAAGTATTTTGTTTTTTAACAGAGACCATGGATCAGTTGTTAGGTTAATCAGAACAAAATGTTAAAATAAAATTTTGTCTGAAAAAAACGAGGATTTATAAGATTTTCTAATAATCATCTGTTTCAGATAAGGTAGATTATAAAAGTTTGTTTTAGGTAGGGTCCAAAGAGCAACCCAATTCGATACCTTAGAAGAATCTATGGGAGAGGAAGTTTGAACAAATGGACTAATAATATATTGATCTTTGATTCTATTCGACTGTACAGGGTTTAATATGATAGTTTTTTCTAAATGAGAGAACCATTCTAGATAATTGCCTTTGACAGTGTGGTGATCATTGTTAATATGAGTACTGATGTCTCTGAAATTTATAAGAAAATTACCCTTACAAATTAATTGATCAAGAAATAATATTGATTGTATCGTAATGAATTTATCCACTTTTTTTTCTAAGAAATGACGTCCTGAAGTAGGGTTTTACCCTTTGATTCTGAATTTAGAATTATTTGCTGACGTGTTTGAAAATGACAAATTCGATTGTAAATAAAAGGAAATTATATTGTCAAGAAAGTTGTTGTGACGAAACTTGTTCAAAGAAGTGGGCCAACAAATCAAAGGGTTGTCATAAAGCCAGAAAAATTCTTAAAGTTGTTTAAGTCTGATTTCGGTGGTCTTTGTGAGGAGCGACAGAGATAGGTCACCATTAATCATATTGGCAAAATGTTGTAGTTTTAAATGTATTATATTTGCTGCAAAATCGTTGAAATCATTTGTCAGTTTGCTGATTAACATACTGTTTAGTGTTGACTTTGGAAATTTAAATTTGTGTTTAAGAAAAATCCTAACTTTGGTGAAAAGAGCTTTGCATTCTTTAGATGATAAAACAACTAATTGTGAATGATATTCAATCCTAGAAATTATGACTATGTTAAAGATATATTTTAATTGTTTATCAGTCAATTGCTTATATTTCAATTTTAAAATGAACTCTGCAATTTCACTTTGAATTTGTTGTTTAATAAAAGTTTTGTTATATTTTGCAGAAATCCATACACCTAAATATCTAGTTGACTCAGATGGTTTTTTTGTTGGAAAGGAAATAGGTTGATTTAAAAATTCACTATATTTTGAGATATTCACATGTTATTAAGAGAAAGGACTTATCATGATTAACTTTCATTAAGTTGAGATCGAAAAATGATTGAGCAATATCAAAGATAGTAGTCAGATTAGATAAATTATCAGTAATCCAAATTGTGTCGTCCATATATGCTGAGTTAGGAATATACGCAGAAATTTCTGAAGTCTCTATTTTGGTGATGTTTAGTTTTCATGATACTGATATTTTATATTCTAAAGAAGAGTTTCAAATTCGTGACAGAAAGGATCGTAATAAATTATCCAAAGCAGAGAAGAGATAACTTCTTCTTGATCAATTCCAACAATGACATCATAGGGATCAGTATTGTCATATGCTATGAAAATGGAGTTCTTTCTGTTTAAAAAAAGATTAGTGATGACATTAGTAAATAATAAGGGGATTTTTAATCATTCCATTGCTTTTCGTAACATGAAAATATTAACTCTATCATAGGCTTTTGACATATGGGAGGTTTGCTAGGAAAATGGGGCTTTGAGCATTTTTTATTAAAATTTGAATTTTTATTGCATTTTAATTTTTGATAATGTTAGATTAAAATGCAATAAAAATTAAAATTTTAATAAAAAAGCTCAGTGCCCCATTTTCCTAGCAAACCTCCCATATCTTGAAAGAGCATGTATAAATTAGAACAACCGGACTTGTTCATTTTATTATTTAAGCGATGGAATTCAAGAATATTGTTGATAATATGTAATGATTCCATTGTTGATTAATGTGGTAAACCTGCAAAATTAAGGCCTTTGTGTATGTTGTATTTAATGAATACGTCCTGTAATCTTTGATTTAGGATCTTAACAAATGCTTTTCTAATAGTGTCCAGAAGCGTGATAGGATATGTATTATCTAAATTACAATTCCAAGCTTTAGGTTTTGAAATTGGATACACATATGCTAAATTCCATTATGTAGGTGTTTGTGAACTAACAAAACAGGCACAGATAATAGTGTATAGAAATTTATTCATTTTTGGACCTAGTTTTTTCAACATTTCATTAGGTATTTGAGAAGAGCCAGGAGCTTTATGATCAGATAAATGTTTTAGTATAGACAACTATTCATCGTATGTAAGGATGGTCATGATTCCTTTATAAAAATTATCATAAATAGTATCAATGGGTTCGTAGTAGTGATGCCATTTATTCCAATTTGGATTAAAATTGTATGAGTGTTAGTCTGTAATAATTCTATTTGTAGAACCAGCGATGGTTTGAAAATGCATTACAGTGTGAGCTTTGATATCATCTGAAACAAGTGCGAGATGTTGTGATAGAGTGTCTGCATTGACCATTACTTTATCAAGAATAATGGCTTTCCTATTTCTTTCTAGACATGAATCTATCATTTTAGTGGAGAGTCTTTAAAGTTCTCGTTCCTTTGTTTAATAAATTCTAAAATTCTTTCATTATTTTCAGTTCGAGAAACAATACGTTATTTAGCTTGCATAAGTTTAATAATGTCTGTTTTTAGTTTGTGTAAATAATTCAGTAGATGATTATTTGAGAAATGATCATTAATCAAAGATGTAGAAATGAAATTATGAGAAGCTAATGTTAATAAAATTTTATGTTCATTAGGTGAGATTGAAAAGGAGGAGATTGAAAAATATGGTTGGAGAAGGGCTTTTTTTAACTTGTAATAGATTTTGTATAACTTATTGATTTGTTTATAAATAGAAGAGTTTGAGCACAAGAATAAAGAATTATAATAGGAAGTAGTCATTTATTTAGGTAAGTGCTTTTTTGCGGATATTAAGATAGTATTAGTGAAAAAATCTCAGGCAGCATTAAGTATGTTCTAAGAAATACAAAGTTTTTGTGTTGTGCTGTTTTTAAAATTTGGGTCAGTCTTAAGTATAAGATCCATTTTATCAGCAAAGAGATCCTATTGGAGAAGAGTAGTCTTATTAAAAAGGAAATTTTTCTTTGTAACTTTGTGTTGTTTGAAGTAAACATTTGATGACTGATTAAAAAATTATTTTTGTAAAGTGAGATTAGAAGAGGATAATGATCAGTTAAGTATAAAAAGAAAGAATCATTAAGTATATCAAAAGATACAAGATCATGTGCTAGAGAAGATAAGACAAATATATAATCAATATGAGAGAAGTAAGAGTTAGAGGTTGATTTGAAAGTGGAAGGAAAAGAGGAATTGAATGTTAAACAGATATAATTCAATGCATTGTTTAATATAATGACCAATAAGACATTGATTTACATTGTTGTATGAAGGCTATACCGATCAACGTGATCATCATCGCACTAACACTTGTATATATCACATGATCAATGGAATAATGTCAACGTGATCATTGGACTAACACTTGCATATATCATGTGATTAATTGAACAAATCAACGCAACACAAATTTTATTATAATTATTTATAATATATTATTATTAAATTAAATATGTCTTTTTAACTATTATCAATCCCAGCATTTTCTGAATCACTCTCTTAATTATTAGAATCCATAGATTCATTATCAGAATCATGATCTATTATGTCATCTTCTAATTGTTCTTCTATTCTATCATCTTCTAACAGTTCTTCTATTCTGTCATCTTCTAAAGATTCTTTGCATTTAAGCTAAAATTTAAATGTATATAGAATCTTTAATAATCAAATCATCTGAATAAACTAGCAATTACTTACCCATATTTATATAATTAAATTAAAATCCTATTGATTCATGTGTTCTTATACTTTTGAAGACAAAATCTCAACCTGATCATAAGTCAGATCTAAAAACATCTGTGCTACTGTGATACCAAATTTGATGTTGTCTTGATTTTGCAATTCTTCTTTAGTAAATGCTTTTTGTAGAATAGCCTTAATGACAAATGGTGAATCTGAATCATTATCATCCATTTTATTCCAGAGATTGTGTCTTGCCTGTTTCAACTCTTTCTGAATTTTTCTAAGATCTAACTTTCTCAGGACTGGCAAATTAATCCAATTTGTAAGAAAATAAGTTTAAGAAGATATAAATAGCATCTTTTATTTTTCAGACGTAAGAACTCCTATGGTTGTGAAAGTATTCTAACATCTATATATAAAATGTATGTAAAAGTATAAAATTGTATTAGTGTGATAATGATATTCATGAATTATAATAAAATATATACAATAGAATGACTAGTACTCTATAAATTGGCCTATTAATTTGAAATGATAAGCTCCTGCATCTTTTGAGAACAATCCATTTGAACTTGTAATTTAAAAGCTTGTTAAATGTCAGCATCTGATGGGTTCTTGTTTACTTAGAATAGTTAATGACATGCCTTTATCATTGGAGTCTAAAATAAAAGAATTATTTATTAAATATTATTTTAACAAAAATATTGATACTAACATCCTATCACATATGTTTCGTATCTTTTCTCTTTAAACGTTGTTTTAGTTTTCCTTCTTGTTGCGTTAATTCATTAATTGTGGTTAGTGATTCTGATATTAAAATAGTAAGAATATTTTGTAAAAGTTTGTGATTTTTAAAGATCTCATGTTTTAATTCATTATTGCTTTCTTGTAGAATATTAATTGTTATACGTTACTTTAGCTGTTCTTTAACTATTTTCTCAAGGATGGATTGAGTATTTAAATTTAGAGTTCCAAACAGGTCAGGTCAGGTCGGGTAATTGACTTAACCTGACCTAATAAGGTTAGGTCAGATCAGACATAAAATTGACCTGAATTAAATATACATTTGACCTGACCTGACCTGACCTGTCTAAAAAAGAAAACTAAACAATTATTAATTTTGTTTA